TTCAGAGTGGGGGGGGCGCCGGCCGGTTGGGTGGGAGGGGCCCAGGGGCTGGAGCAGGGAGCATTCTGAACTGGCAGGGAGCCGGCCTGGAGGTAGGGACTGAGGCAACTTTGTTCTATTTTTTTTCATGGCGCAATATTTTTTTCCTTATGAGAAGAATACAAATAAATTCAAAAATGGAAAATGCTTGTTTAAAAAGGCATTGCTTTTTTTAAAAGATGAAAGGGCTTAAAAATGCCTTTAGGTTTACTTTACCCTCCAAAGTTTATTTTCTCTGGGAGATGAACATGAGTAACAACAATACAGAGAAGTTTTAAAGTGGGGAGAGAAGGCCATGAGCTGACACAGACAGCACATCCTGGGGGCCCCAGGGCTGGGAAACGGGCCCACTAGGGGCGGCCAGCGGCCAGGGCTGAGAGCAGTGTCCAGGGACAGGACGATTTTTCCAAAACAGTTCCAATCTCTGCAAGAAGAAGGGTCAGAAGACAAGAAAACAATCCGATAATAGCCCCAGGTTTTCTGCCTGGATCCCTGTTCCCCATAGTTCCTGTGTTTGTGGGATATTCAGCAGAGAGCTAAAGTGGGAACTATGGTCCTGTGTTTACTTTTTAATTTTTTAAAAAAATATGTCTTTATTGATTTCAGAGAGAGGAAAGGAGAGGGAGAGAGAAATAGACCCATCAATGATGAGAGTCATTGATGGGCTGCCTCCTGCAAGCCCCCGACTGGGGATCCAGCTCACAGTCCAGGCATGTGCCCTGACCAGGAATGGAACTGAGACCCCCTGGGTCCTAGGTCGATGCTCAACCACTGAACCATGCCTAGCTGGGGTGTGTTTACTTTTAAAACGAATTCCCGGAGATCAGTAAGCTGCATGTCTCTTACTTGAAAACAGATTCTGACCAGCTGCCACTATGAAATGTTTGTCGTTTTCTCCATGGGAGCCTGGTGCCCCTACCCTGCAGGGGATTAGCATCCCCATTCTAAAAGCAGAAAACTCAATTACAATCCCTCTGGCTGGGGGTCACATTGAAGTAATGAAAGCAGGAGACTGGAAATATCCACCTGGGCAGATGGAAAAAAATAACAGAGGTAGACCCATCTCTCTGCCAACCAGGCCAAAGAAAAAGATGGGCCACTTTATACAAATGCTAAATTTAAAAGGAAACGGCGGTTAGAAGGGGTTACTGTATTTTTCACACTCCTGTAATTGCCTCAAAGCGCCCTGGTGGTGGGTGATGGACTTTGAGTACATTTGGCTTATCTCTTTCATACTTTCCTTCCTGGGTGTTCAGTGGGAAGACTGGGTGGCAGTGTCCCAGCAAGGACGGGCTATGCAGCGGGGAGCAAAGGTCAACGGTGTGGATGCCGTGTTGTTAAGTTACCGTAGCGCCAGTGGGAAGGCGAGCTGCAAGCCTTTCCCTCCTGCACGGACGGCCACGCGTGGGGGGAGGGAGGCAGGTCTGTAGGATTCCAGTCGGGAATATTGGGTTAGGACTGGGAAAAATTGCTCATTAAGTTGAAATATCTGGTCAAGCATTCCTGCCTCCAGCAAGGAAGTCCTCTCTACCTCTGATGGACCTGGAGGCACAATACCTTGGAGAAGAGACTAAGAGGCTTACATTGTCTGCCCTGATCTGAGCATCTCCCTGGCGTCTCCCTTCTGGGGGAGCAGCAGCCTTGGAGAGCCCTGGGCAGGTGAGCACCTGTGAGCAGCATTAACTGGGTCAGAAATGGTCACCTGTCCCTGGTGCCATGTTACAAGGCTTGGTTGTCTCTCCACAAGGTGTGAAAGTGGGCTTCTCTGTTTTTAAGGATCCTGCCCATACCCAGAATTACACTCCAGACTCAGGAGAGTCCAGACAAGGCTGATCCGCGGCAGCTCTGTGAGGCTCCGTGCTTAGTGAGTCAGCAGGGGGGGTCTGCAAATCAGGCAGGGCTGAGCCCGGAGCCTGGCTGCTGTGGGGACAGGGGTGCGGCCCACACTCGAGACTCACTTCTGGGTCTTGGCTGGCTTCTCCGGCTTCTCCGGCTTCTCCGGCTTCTCATTATATGGGATGACAAGGTCGATAGCCGAGTCTGGCTTCTGGAGGAGAGTTCCCAACTTGATCTTAATCTCCTTGGCCCTGAAAGAAGAGACAGGACGAGGACACGGCATGAGCACACAGACCTGGATAGACGTTTCTTTCTGGGTCAGAAACAATGAACAGGACACTAATGTAGACATTGGGACACTGATGTTTATCGAGCTCTTGTGACGTCCCTGGTTAATATGCATTATCTCATCCTGATCCTGTTTTCATTTTACACATGGCAGGTACTATAGTATTATCCCATTTTACAGATGAAGAAACTGAATGATGGAGGCTTTAAATAACTCACCTGGAGAACCCGGTCAGTGAAGGATGAGGTCACCTCGGGCTGTCTGGCTCTGGAGTCACCGAGGGAGCTAGCCCTACACTGCCTCCCAGGCTTCCGAGGGGGCTGGCCCCAGCTTTGCCAGTATTAGATGCATAACATTTGAAAAAATAATCGAATTTTAGTGCCTGACCTCAGCTCCTTCACCTGTCACATGGCAGTCAGTGTAGACGTGCTCTCCAGCCACTGCCAGCTGCAGCCTAGATTTTCCTGCCTGACAGTGACCCTGTCTGGAGCGTGGTGCCCATCTGCGTGGGTTTGATTCTCCCCAGCCCCTGGCCTGTTGTTCCCAAATGGCCCTGGAGCATCTCTCATGCCATGAGCCTTCCAGGGACAAGCCTCAGCTGCTGGTGGGAGGACTCTGGCACTTTCTGCTTCTCCATCTTCCATGTGCCAGTGAGTCCCTGTGGTCAGAGTTCTGGGCGCAGCTCCAGCAGAGGGTGCGGCTGTTTTCATGCCCAGTTTCAAAACTAACCTGCGAAGTTGTCCATGATTTCATCACGAGTCTGAATTCAGGATGCACCCAGCAAATCTTAGACATCGATTCAAGAGACAAGTGTGTATATTGGCAGAGCCACAAAGCCTCCGTCGCCGTCGCTGTCACTCATGGACACCTTTGAGTGCCTTTAACACGGAGCTTATCGTATTATGGTCATTGATTTATGTGTCTGTTTGAGAAGCTGAAGGGGAAACTGAGTCTTAAATACCTTTTAACTCCTCTGTGTAGTGCAGTGCTTGGCAACATTGTCAACATTAAAAATATTTGCCAAAGTGAACTAAAAATATCTTGGTTCTGTTGCTCACAAATGTGCTAACATTCGTCTCCCGGTCAAAGCCAAGTATAACCAAAGTCTTAAAAAGCTGGGACAGGACTCCCGTCGTGGCCAGAGAGGGTTTTGCTCCTATAAACACTTTCCGCATCTGTCCATGTGGAGACGGTTTAAGCAAATAAAACACGTAAGATTAGCAATTATGGATATTAGGGAAAGATAAGAAAACTGACTGTGTAATGTATACGAGTCATAGTGTTGAATCATACCATCGTTTCCTTTGGCGTTATAAATAGGATTTTAAGCTATGGCTTGGAATTAGTCACCCGCAAGGCACGCTGTCTCACTTTTTAGTTCCTTCTGCGTCTGTTTTTCCCCAGGACCCTCTCCAGGGCTAAGCGTTAGGGCTGAAGCTTGGACTGACTTACGGGAAACACGAGATGAGATTGCAGGCTCTGCACGTTGCTTAAATTATCCATTTGGTTTTTCCCTCTGCCTAGAAATTGGGGCTGAAGACATAGTTCACCCTCAGAGAAGTCGTGAGGACAACGTGGCCTCCTTGCCCATCCCTCCCTGGGGCCAGCCACAGGGTCTGCCCCGGGGAAGAAGTCCTTGCACGCCCGCTCCCCTGGCTCCACCCGCCACCCGGGTGTGCACCTGTCTTCACGTTCAGCTGCGACCCGGGCGTTTACTGGCCAATGTTTAAAGAAAGATAAGCTACGGAACATGTCCCACAGGCTTGGCCTTGGTCTGGTGGTCCTCCGGGTTTTCATTTTGCTCCCCCCATCCTGTTTCTTTTCCCTTTTTCTCTCCAGCTTCCTTTGGACCACCGTTTTTGTACAAGGCAGAGAGAATCGGTGTGACTTGCTGCTGGAAAGGTGGGTTGGAGATGAAGGGCACTGAGGACGAGGGAGGGCATCCTTAAGCTTCACTGGTCAACCTTCGATCACCGCGCGGTAAGCGGCGGGCATGCGCAGGGTGTGGTCCTTGCCTTCAAGGAGCTCGGAGTCCACTGAGGTCGGCAACTTACAAACAGTCTCCCCAAGCTTCCCAAGGGGGGATGTCTGGGAGGCAGGGAGCACCGGTGGGGACAAGGGCAAGTCAGGGGGCTTCTAAGAGGAGGCAAGGCTGGAGCAGCCAGTAGCTGGGGGACAGGGAAGGACAGGCCTTTGGGGCAGGAGAGGGGCCGTGCCCGTGGTTGAGAGGGATGCATATGTGATTCTGTGTTGTCCCCTTGTGCTGAAGGGGCGGGTGATGGGGACCCCTGTGGGGTGCCAGCCTACAGCAATTCTGGTAGGAAACAAAAAAGAGGAAAACCTAGGATGACTGCCTTCAAAGTCTGCTTCCATGCAGAGTGCATCCTCTTACCAGCTCCACCTGCTCCAGAGTTTTCTGTGGCTCACTTTCAGGACGCTGTGTCCTGTAACAACAGTGTCTGCACATGGAGGTTACATAACAAGTCATCCCACAGAAACATTTCAAACCCAGAATGAGTCAGGCCCTAGAGCAATTTCACCTGTGTCACTGCTTAAATGGGTTTTGGGGTGATCTAGACACCCACTGGCATTCGGAGCATCGCTACAGGAAGGCAGGGCCCACTTCCTCGGGGCGCAGACACTCAGAGCACTGGGGGGCCATGTGCCCATGTTTGCGGGAACATAGGGACAGAAGAATGCAGCCCTTGGAAAACACTTCTCTCCCTGGCTTCAACTCCGGGCTTAGGATAGGCTCAAACTCCAGGCGTTGAAAAGGTAGAGCACGTCCATTGGGAGTCCATCAGGATTTGCAAGAATACAGAGGACAGGTATTATTATTGCATCGCACAAGACAGGAAGGTTTAAAGGCTGAAGAGGTAACCAAAGCTGAAGTCGAAAGCACTTGAAATATTTTCCCCTCCTCTGCAAGGACCCGGTGTTCCTGCATTTGTTTTGCTGCTCCCGGGTTCCAGAGTTCCCGAGACCTGCCCTCCTTCCCTTCTTTCCCCTCCACAGCCACACTGACAAGCACGGGAGAGAGACACGCTGATGGAAGATCAAACCAACTGGAGCTCAGGCCGGCTACTGTATCTTCCCCTTAAAAACAAATGTGAGTGCGTCCGGCGGGAATTTTATGTTAAAGCAATGCCATCCAGAGAAGAAAACTGTCTAAGGTGCTAATGACTTGGCTGGGTCTCCGGCAGGTGTCACCCGCCTGGCGTGTTCCTGGCCACGCGACACTGATGCTTCCCAACAAGAAACTGTTTCTATCTCCTCTCCTCTTACCAACACCTTCTTACCCTTTTGTTGACAAAGAAAAGCTTGTTTTGAAATAAAATCAATTGGAAGCACCTGGGTGAAATTTTAATAACAGGTTCAGAGGAAGATAGCGCTTTCCCTCCACCCACGTGACTGATTTCAAATTGAACAGGGTTTGGGTAACTGTAGGATTGTGCAGGTTTAAATCCATGCCCTGCGAGGGCATGCTGACCGGGAATCATGTTTTGGAAGGTCCTGGGCTGCCTCGCTCCTCCTTGCTAACAGGAACAGGAGAAAGTCATTACCTCACAGCGCACATGGGAAAACAGCCCAGATCACTCAAAACAGAAACAGCTGAATTGTTAGAAATACAATTATATTCAAGCAAAATTGATCAACAATCAACAATTTATAAAGTCCTGTGCTCGGTGTTTTGAAGGTTACAAAGATGTCCCTTGCCTTGGAGATACTTGCAACAGCCGAACATTGGACACACATGTGCAAGTTGTATGCTGGATATTTCCTGGTTATCCATACAAGCGGATGGGATACGCTGATGGTGACAGGGCCTGACTTCTGGGGGTTTGGGCCTACTCGTGGGATAACACGGAGACCGTGCAGGGGGACGGCCAGAGCACCTGCATTTCCCTCACGGCCCTCCTGTCTCCGGCACTCACTGGAGCCCTCTCCCCGGAGAATGTCCCAGCCCCAAGAGCACAGTCAGTATGGGTTCTGTTCACAATTCCAGCCTCAGCCCAGGGCCTGGCATTGAACTGACACTCCCTAAAGACTGGTTCTATAAAATTGATGAATCCATAAAATGAATGAACTGAATTGCTAGGTTATAGAAAAACTACATTCTGGGGCGGGGCGTGTGAAATACTGGGGTGTGCCATCAAGAGCTCAGTGTCTCTAATTGGGTTGGCTGGGGACAGGCAAAATCATTAAATGACCACAAGGACTTGATGCGGCTGAATTCAATTTTTGTCTGTTACAGTTTCAAAGTAGACCAGTGGGGCTCAAACTGAGCATGCTCCCGCGGTGCCTCCCACCAGGCAGGACGGGCTCTGACGGGAAGAGGCACCGAGTCAGATCAGATCAGAATCCACCTTGGGACCAGGGTTTGTCAGGACTCAAACAGAAGCAGCTCTAAGGCACAGATCAGCACTGTGGTTGGGAGGCTTGACTATCGCCATGGCAGGTCTCGTCCGACTCCAGACGTGTGTTGAGAATAGTCAAGAAGGAAGACAAGGTAGAGGGAAGGTGGGAAGCTTAGGGCAGGGACTAGACAACCTATTCCCAAAAGAGGGGTCCGCAGGCATCCCTTGCCAAGGACCATCACTCCAGTCCAACGGAAGTCTGCCTTGCCGGTGCCCCCTGCTG